GAACCAGACCGTAGGTCTGGCTTCGAATAAGCTTTATCTTCTTCTCATTTTATGCGTTTGATTTTATTCTATTTTCATAATATCCATGATTTTTGAAACATGTTGTGATTGTTTGGCCTTTGAAAGTTTGTTTTGATGAAACAAACAGCCGACGCATACATAATTCATGCGGGAGGTCAATGTCATCTGGACCGTAATTTAACAGAACCCCATCTCCCTATTAGCTTAGAGCTCAATTTCATTTTGCTTATCTTCAAACTGAGTAGAGGATTGCTCTAAATCCTTTTTAAATTTTGGCTATAAACAAAAGATCATCAAGATAACAATTTTAACCTTATTGAAATTATTTATTAGTCACCAAGAAATCAAAACTTCTACAAATTAATAGACATCTCCCATAAATCAAATTTATGCTATTCGGAAAAAGCGACTATGCTTAAACATTGACCATCTCAATTACTATGGCTCCGTTTGGAGACTAGAACAACTCCAACAAGCAATCGAGTTATGCATAACTGGGAAAAACTGGTGATCCTTTTCATTTACGATAATTGGTATTTGGGTGGCATTGTGTTAATAAGTAGAGATACAAGTCTTTTACCCTTAAATGATATAGAGCGGGCCAAGTTCGGCTTATGTGTGGCAATGGACCCGATGGATGGCAGACCCAACCAGACCTGGGACCCAACGGGTTGACCCGACTTTGGGTCTGGGTATGCGTCTAAATTTTGGACCCGAAAGATATGGTCCGGGTCTAAAACTCGGACCTGAATATTATTTAGGTATGGATCTGGGTCCGGGTTCAACCGGATCCAACCCAAATAATATAGGTATATATGGGTATTCGTAAATGTAACCAATACGTTTGTTTCTTAGGAATTTCTAGTTATACGTAGTAAAATAGTAAGGAATGTGAGCATTCATTAATGTCGTGCAATACTATAAATGTTGCCAATAATGTTGCCAATAATATGGTAGACAAAGGGTGGACAAAGAAAAATAAGCTCATAGTCATAGGGTGGCAATGGACCCGAACATATCCGGATTCGACGGGTAGACCTGACCTCAGATCCGTATATGGGTCAAAATTTTGGACCTGAAAGATCAAGTCCGAGTCTAAATCCCGGACCTAAATACTATTTGGGTCCTGGTCTGGGTTTGGGTTCAGCCGAACCCGACCTGTTGCCACCCTTAGCTAGGCTCTTGAATGGGTGGAGGGAGAACCCAGCCCTATATTGGTAGTTCTATAATATTATCCTCAATTGTCGTTCTAAACTTCATAATTTTATTTGGACAAATGATGCAACAAAAAAAATAAATTTAAAAATAAATAAATTTAAAAGGGTTGAGATATTATACCCTCTCTCAGATCTGCAAAGTACTTTCTCTTTTTTCCAATCACCATGTTTACAAAGAAGTAACATATTCCCTTTAAATATAACTAAAACGAAACAATAAATAAAATAAAATAAAATAAAATATAAAACTAAACTCAATCTCTCTCCTATCTCTTAAAAATAAGTTTAATATATTCTAACCAACCCAACTATACTAATACCTATCCATATCTATCTTTTTTAAAAAAAAAAAAAGTAAACATTCAATTCTACCCCCTTATATCTCTACAATTAAAAAAAATAAGAATAGCTCTAAAGAAAATTAAAAATCTTAATAACATATTTTCAAAACTTGGGCCTGGTCCAACAAATGTGGTCCGAGGGCTGAGTCGGCCCGCGCCACCACTGCCCAAGGGTAGGGTCGAGCCTGGATTAGGTCAGATACAAGGCTGGCTTGGTTTGGCCTGCCCTGGCCCTTTTCCTTATTATTTTTCTTTCGCTACTCACAATTGTATTTGGCCTAGCCACGCTCAGCGTAGCCTAATAAGGCGCCGGCCAAGCTTGGGCCAGGGCCTCTTCAACCATGTTAGAGCGGGCTCAGACAGGCCTTGTAGGGACTAGGGCTGCCAAGGCTTGCCCGGCCCAAGCCTTCCTCGTTGTCACCCCTAATTGATATAATGGATTTTTAAATTTTTATTATTTTCATATTTTTTTAGTGACTAAGTTTATTTATTTATTTTCTTTCCCCCACCTCCCTGCATTAGACAAGGATCATATCAAACTTTCTTGAAAAATATATGTACTTGTTTGAATTCTATTAGGTAATACTCTCTCACACACAAACACAAGTAAGGGCATGAAATTGATAATATTTCCGAAAGTTTCCCAACTCATTGGTGACATGATTTCGAGGAACTCAGGTTGAGGTAAATTACAAAGGACAGGCACTTCAGTATTGAGCAAATTCCCATTATTGAGCAAATTCCCATTACTGCTCTCACCAATAACGCATGACAACCCTCACAGTAAACAGTGTGAAAGTGGTTGGAAGTTGTTGGAATAGTTGTATAAGAATTTATTTATCACCCTTAGCCAGGTAAGCACAAAAAAATAGGAAAAGAAGATTTACACCAGGAAATCCAAATATACACTTTACATTTCAACAATTGACAAAGCAATCAATAATTGAAATGGCATACTTGCCTATTGAGGAGTTACCTTAGCTAAATTTCTAGGGTTCTAAATTTGAAATGTTGGAATTCTGCCTCGGGGCAGTTTCGTTCTATCTAGTGTTTTAAAAAATGGCTATTCGGACCGGAGCCAACTAGTTTGGATTTGGAATAGGAGGTACCCGTCTGGTTCTGCAAAAATACTAACCAGCTCTGGCTAGTTCTCTAAAAGGACTAATTGGTTTGGTTATGTCAGAAAACCAGACCCATTTTTATATTTTAATACTTTTATTTTTCTCTAATTTTTTTATTTTTTATTGGCCGGTACACTCGGCATGATCGTTGAATTCGGACCGCTGATATGTCGATCCAAACAGGTTTTATGGCTTCCCCATTAAAAATAGGGTATAAATCGCCAAAATATAAAAGGACTAACTGGTTTGGTTATGTCAGAGAACCAGACCCATTTTTATATTTTAATACTTTCATTTTTCTCTAATTTTTTAATTTTTTTATTGGTCGATACACTCGGCATGATCGTTGATCCAGACCGCTGATCCGTCGATCCGAACAGGTTTTATGGCTTCCCCATTAAGAATGGGGCATAAACTGCCAAAAAATAAGCGGGGCCTTTTATCCATCAAGAATATAAAATGACCATAATCCCCCTAACAGGCTATTTTTTACATTGAATTGTAGTTCGAAGTGCTTGGTGTGAGTTGGGAAAATATGAAGCCTGAAAGCCGACGTAACCAAAGGCTACATGAAAAAAAAGAAGCTGAAAGAGTTATGCTCCCGCGGGAGCATATGGTATGGAAAATATCCTACCTTCAATCCGTTGGGTAAAGGGAGTGAATGTAATCTAACACTGAAGTTTTTCAAACTTTTTAGTATGTAATCTTCTTAACTTGGACCAACTCCCAAAACATGAAAAAAATAAAAAGTAAAACTAGAAATAGCATGTACTTGAAAAATATAGCATCCTCAGATTGAACGGTCAGATCTAAGTGTAAATGAACTAAAAAAAAATTTATTGTTTGAAAAAAATACTCATCCAGTGAGTAAATTGAAAGTGTATCCCAAAATTTCATATCTAAAAGGGCTTTTTTTTCAGTTGGTCTTTATCCGAAGGAATAAGTTTGCAATGTGCTCCTATGGGAGTAGGTACAAAGAAAAGCATGTTTTACTATTGAGAAAGTATACAATAAGGCCCTTTTGGTAAAAGGTGGTCACCATTGTTCTTGACCATTTGGATATGAAATTGGTGGGCCACATTTATTCCATTGACCAAGTTCAAAGTACAAAAGAAATTTTATCAAACTTTGTGTCACACGTAAATTATCGGATTTCCCATCTACTGGTTATAAGTATTTGTGAGTTGTGACCTCCTTACAAATTGTCTAATTGTATATAATCCTTTTACTATTAGTATATTGTTAATTCGAGCAAGTGATTTTATAAAATGCCGAGTTAGTACATAATTGCCTAGTCCGACTCAAGAATCAATCACTCTGTTCCAGTTCTATGTATATATAGGAAATCGTCTTAGTCTAGAAGGGACCGGTGGTTCCGCACAATAAAACATAGATTCTCTATAGTAAAAACGACGATCTGCACCACCGATTTACCGATCCATACCAGTTTTTAACCAATTCATTATTTTACCAGTGATTTAATAAAGGATCAGTGACCTAGATCAAACACCCCAAAAACCAGTCACGATCAATGAATCGACGTCCAGATCACCGTTTTACTGTGCGAAAAAACTAGTGAACCGGTGAAAAAATAGTGAACCTACCAAAAACATGTCTAAAACAATGAATTGGCGGTCTGGATCGTTGTTTTACTAGAGAGAATTGTCATTTTTCTCTGTGTATTTGTTGGATCTCTTCTAGACTCAATTGTTTTCCTATATATATATACAGAACCGGAATAAGGTGACCGATTCCAGGGTAGGCGATTCCATGCTGACCCAACGTTTTTTAAAATCATTGATTTTTTCACTTGTTATTTCGCTAGTTTGTTGTTTTTCCACACTCTAAAATAGTGATCCACATTGCCAATTCACATAACTGTACCGTTTTTGGAGTGCCCAATCCCAGTCACCAATCCGTATTTTAAATCACTGGTTCAAGCTATCACTACTGGTATCAATAACCAATTACTTCATGGCTAGGTTCCTCATCGAGTCAAAACTATGAAAACACCAGGGCCACCATCGAGGGCATTTGGGTAATTTCCCCGATCGATCGCCATTAAAGTTGCTGCGTCAAAGATTGGTGAACCCGTCTAGTACATTGCCCCAACCTTCAAAACCTCACTCACTGCAAAAACATTAAATTCCCCAACCGTAAATTGTCAGTATTGTTATTTTTCCCTTTGATATCTCTACTTTTTGTCAGAACTTTCAAAAACCAATTAATATAATTTTTAATCTCCACATTTACTTCAGCATTCAATCCTCAAACAACCTCATTTCTACTATATAAACCCCATATCCACACTGCAATTTCACACTAAAACGCCCAAAACTAAAAGACTCACTCCATAAGAGAAGAAGAAGAAGGCAAGAGAAGAAGATGGCAAAGCTGGTATTTTTAGCTGTGATTCTGGTTGCCTCTCTAACTTTAGAGGTGAGTGGTAGGAAGTTAGCTGAGCAACCAAAAACTGAGCTAATGGCGGGCCATAAGAAATCTTCGGAGCCAGCCAAGATTGGAAAAGAGTTAGAGGACCAGAAGAACTTCATCGGCTTTGCTGGACTTGGCGCAGCTGCCGGAGTTGGTGCAGTCGGTGGCGTGGCTGGAGGCTTGCCGACGTTTGGCGGGCTAGGCTCAGGCATGTTTTCACGTTATTTTCACTATTCATTATATACTTTTTGCCCTTTTTTTAGATAGTTGCAAATCTTTTATTTTTTCCTATTCCTTCTTTTCATTTTTTTTTTTTTTTTTTAAGTAATAACAGTTTTTCGCATAAGGAGCTGTTATCATGATCTTGGTAACGGCCCACTCGTCATATAGATGGACATTGTGGTTTTTTGAAGCATGCAACAAACCTCATATCATCTGATTAAAATAGCATGGCATTATCCGTTATTTTTTTAAGACAGTGCTCAAGATGGCCCTTAGGCTTTTGAAATATGGTGAATATTTGATTAGTAATAACCTGCATTGTACGGATGGAATTGAGGTCGTGGGAGTAGCACCACTTGAGCCTTTGCTACCAGTCTAGGTTTTCATTTCCACCGAAGCCATTTGAAAACCGCTAATTATTTTTAAAAATGGTTAGGAAGCTGTATTCCCCTGATCTACCCAAAAAATAACGTGCATCGTATCACTTTTAAATCACCTTATACATTTACTCAAAAAAAAGTCACGTTATATATGTTAGTTTTAATCACGTTATACACTTACCCGGAAAAAAGTCACCTTATATATGTTAGTTTTAATATACTGCCCGTTAAACCCAATTAGTTAGGAAAAGTTTTCGACGATGAAATGAATATATTGACCATTAAACCGTTATTTCCTCAAACATCGTTATTTTATTTTCTCAAAATCATATGCATTAGCAACGATCAATTCTGTTATATATCTTCTTTTCCTCATTTTATAGCTGATTGATAGACTAATAGTGGTTTTTGTGACCATGGTGCTCAGGCGTCGGAGGAGGAATTGTCGGAGGTGGTCTTGGTGGTGCAGGTGGCGGTCTTGGTGGTGTAGGTGGTGGTCTTGGGGGTCTTGGTAGTGCAGGTGTAGGTGGTGGTCTTGGGGGTCTTGGTAGTGCAGGTGTAGGTGGCGGTCTTGGTGGTGTAGTTGGCGGTCTTGGTGGTGTAGGTGGCGGTCTTGGCGGTCTTGGCGGTGGAGTTGGGGGTGGTGCCGGCTCTGCTGGTGGGTTTGGCGGTGGTGCTGGTGGTGGCGCTGGTGGGATCCTGCCTTGAGCTTATGCTCTATGGGGATAGATTGGAATAATTTCATTCTATTTGTTTTAGTGAGGGTTTCATTTTGTTGTTTGTTTCAGATCGTTTGTTATTCGTTGTCAAAGCAATGCACAGCTAGTGCACAGGCGTGTATGGTGGTCATATATGGTCTTCCATTAAGACTAGACTTGTTGTTTAGTTTGTTGAGTGTTACGTTCTATTGTCAAAATGTTATACAAATGTTTTTAAGTGGGTATTGTTTCTCATCATGTTTGCTTATACAAGTCTCTCTCTGGTTATTTAATGTTTCGGCACTTGACTATTCACTAGCTTTTGTTTTTTATGTAAATTGTTGGAGATAATAAAATGTTTTTCCTATTTCATTCGTTTTCTTTATTTTTAAGTTCTTCAACTAGTGATTTCATAAATGTGACATGTTAAGCTAATAAATGCCCGTTCTCAAGGTTGAAATGGATTATATTACACTAATCGGCGTGCAGTATGACTTTTCTAATCTAACGTGTCATCTCCTCCGTCCATTTCCAGGAGGAGATGATGGCCATCATTGAATATATATACATGTAGTAAATAAATAAGGAAAAATATACAATATCTTTGGTCTATAGTGGTCATAATTAATTTGATCATTGGATGGGAAATTAGACGACAGTAGTTCTTCCATTAATCAAATTCAGACTTCTCCAACTTTGTGATAAACCATGCTATCTAATTTCATATGGGATGATTGTAAATAATTATGACCCCCTTGTATTAATAGGTGATAAGGATTATATGTTACAAGGTTATATAATGTTGCAATCTTAAAATGTAGAATCACCTAAAAAATCTATCGGAAAGGTTGTTTTAATGTTGAAAAAGCCTTTTAATCAATCAGCTCGATATTAAGATTTATGAAGATAAAAAAAAAAAATTTTGAGTTTCGAAAATAGTGTATCGTGCAACACATTATCTGGATTATCCATTTTCAAGATTTACATATATTTATAGATCCATTTGATTTTAATCATTTTTAAAATTTTAAATTTTTTAAGCATATATGAAAATAAATTTTAAAATAATATTAAGATGTTTTCATAATAAAATTACATGTTATGATAAAATTTTAAGGTGCACCTATTGTTTAAGGTTGCATTCTTATAGAAACTGCACCGTCTGTCTTGCAAAAAAGTGATTGAAAAGTAACAATTTGAGCTTTGTCACCGAGTGAGAAAAACGTTTTTTTTTAATTTTAGACCTAGATAATGAGATGCTTCTGACTATCAAATTTTACATCTAACGGCCAAGGTTGAATCAAACATCTTAGGACTAGGGTAAATGATTCTGTTACATACTTTTCCGTTGTAAAGATACACAGTTTTGCTTGGTGGGTTTCGCTTTGCCAAAAAGAAAATTTATGATAACATGCTGTGTTATGATTTCCAGTATTCATTCTGTTTTGAGCATGTATGTCATGCACTCACACAAGCAAAGTGTATATCTACTCCCTCAGTCACAATACCTACTTAGGAAGATTCTTCTAATCTTAAATTTTGAGAACTGCTAGATGACCATTTTCAAAAGTAGAAAACGCCTAAAAACTGCTAGATGACCATTTTCAAAAGTAGAAACTTGAATTGAGTTTTCTAACCCTCACATTTCACCCTCCAAAAATTGGGTAGTCCATGTTCAATCTCCAAACTATTTTATTTCAAGTTTTTTTCAAGCACATAGAATGTGTAATCTGGGAAATTTTTTAATTAAAATTAGTCTATGGATTGAAAAGATTATACCCCCAACTTTTGCGGTTTTAGCTACTCCTAGACTGTGTTTTGCCCGAGGTGGTAAATGGATAGTATACTTTGTAGGAGTATAAAATCTTTTAATGATTTACTTATGGTAAAATGCAAAAGGTATGCTTATTGGAAAAAAATTAGAAAGAAGGTATCAACCCACTTTTTTTTCTTTTTTTTTTTAAAATTGCCTATTGGTCAAGTCAAATTTAAATTTTTTTTTTAGTTTTTTCATTAATAGGGCAGTGCCCCCAAGCTTCAAGGTATTGCCCTAGTAATAAAAAAATCTAAAAAACAAATCAAAATTCTGGTTGACTGGGAGAGGTAATTTTGAAATGAGGTAGAAATGTACTCGAAATGAGGTAGAAATGTATTGGAAATGAGGATGAATGGTAATTTAGTGTGGTTTGTATACGGTTGCAACTTTAATCAAAAGTAGAGTGATCTTCCAAATTTTGCCATGACATAATTTAGTTGCGAAAAATTATTAGGATAGTGCGTGAATCTATATATATATATTTAATAAAAAAAAAAAAAATTTAAAAGAATTGCATACGATGAGTAAATTTATCTTTAATACAAGATGGTCACAACTCCTTAACAATTTGATGTAAAATTTGATAATTTGGATATGTCACAAAGTTCAAAAAATTTTATTTTGAAGTTTGAGCTTGATCAATAGAATAATTGCGGCTACTCAATTTCACATTCAATGGTCATGATTATTGTTATTACCTTGTATCAAAGATACATGTCTCATTCTATACTTTTTCAATTTTAAATTATGAAAATAATTAGAGTCAAGCAATTTATAAATGTAGAAAAATATTGAAAAATAGACGGTCTAAACATCTCGATTTCGAGATGATCAATTAGATGTTCTTCCAACGCCAACACAACTTTTTCATTTTTTTTAAGGATTTTAGAGGTGCACTTAATTCTACATTTTTAGGTGTCATTTTTTAAAAAAAAAAAAAAATTATTTAAAAAATTTTATTTCTTTCTTAATTAAGTAAGCTCTATTATCTCCCTACCAACCAAAAACAACGAAACAAGGAAAATAGTCATGGAATGAATTGTGGATGTTTGTAAAAATAAAAAATAAAAGATAAAAAAAAAGCCTCAAATTTTATCAAAAGATTGATGTGACTGAATTTATGACCTTTTACATACTACATTAGTTCGAAGGTCGACCTGGATTTGTATACATGACACGCGTCCTAACGGCATTCGCTCCCTTTGATAAGCCCCTCTCCCACTCTCTAAAAGCCTGCTTTTTTAAGCATTTATGGTGTATGGATACCTTTCGTTTTGAATTCCTAAAAAATAATGTCCGAATGGGGCATTCAACAGGAAGCTGCCCTGATGCAGATGTATTTGTCCATTAAGGACTTCAAAAGTTTTATTTTTTGGGGAAATCATCAAAGGTATATATTAAGGGGCTCACTACATTATAGAGTATTTTATTATTGAATTCCATAAAAAAGTGCGGTTTGTATAAAGCTTACGCTTTAAATGGTCAAATTAGAGAGAAATGTGGTTTCAATCTTGAAAATCTTTGTGATAGCCTTAAAATATATTTTTATATTTATTTATAAATTTTAAAGTTTCAAAAATAGTGTTGATCAACATATCTATAAAACGTGAATATATTGAAAATTGACGGTCAAAAAATGCGTTACAAAATACACTATTTCCAAAACTTGAAATCCATTCTTTTTTCATGTCAATGCATCTTGATGTCTAGATGATCAATTTGAGGATATTTGGGCGATTCAAAACAACCGCTTCTAGTGAAATTTGAGATAGGTTCTAATGTGATTGTTTAGATCCTCGGCTCTATATAAACTTTTCCTTTTCAATGAAATTTTTTTATAAGTAAAGGTATTTTTAGTGATTATGAGATGTGTCACATCATTCACACGGGTATGGCATCACAGATATGGAGTACAATAGTGATATTTAATACTCTATATGGGTGATACCATCTCATGTGGATGATGTCATACTTCTTTTAATAACAAAAAAAACCCCTATTAAAAAAATATCGTATTATAAAACAACAGTATATAAATATTTAAAATTTGTTGAGTATGATTATAAAATATATTATAGTTTGACCACCATACCATAACCTCTTACCCAAACCTCTTATCAAAATGCATTTTAAAGATGAACTATGGGTGTGGTTTGTATAGAGCCGAGGCTCTAAACAATCATATTAGAGCCTATCTTCAAATATTGTCAGAAAAAGTGATTTCAATACTGAAAATCTTTATGATAGCCTTAAAATACATTTTTATCTTTAATTATAAAATTTAAAGCTTCAAAAATAGAGTAGATTGAGCATGACAACTTAAAAATTTTGAAAATTGATGGTTCAAAAATGCACTACAAGATGCACTATTTCTGAAACTTGAAATCCATTTTTTTCTCATGTATATGCATCATGATGTCAAGATGATTAATTTAAAGATATTTGATTATTAAAAACAACTTCTTCTAGTGAAATTTTTGAGGTGGGCTCTAATTTGATTGTTTAGAGCCTCAACTCTATATAAATTTTCTCATTTAATATTGAATAAGATTTCTATAAGTCGGCCAACTCACATATTTACATGAGTCATCTCTCTAGAATCTATTTTGGACATGAATTTTGAATCCAAAATTCTAACAAATGAAATTCTCAACATCCCTATCTAAGATGGATGTTAAATGCGTGAGGGAACGCTATTTTAGAAATGCGTCTCTAATACACAAACTGCTTAAAAACCTTTAATATTTTATGCTGGGTATAGTTTAATAGCTTTCATAAATATTTTGACGGACTCTTTGCCATTTGAAGGGTGCGGTTTCCATAAGTTTGCAACTTCAAATAATCCAATTAAGGTGCACTCCCAAACTTCATCATAATATCTAAATTTGGCGAAACAAATTCTTACGATTATCTCAAAATCTATTTTTATATTTAATTATAAAATTTTAAACTCCAAAAATGGTTAAAATCAAATAGATCTATAAACAAATGCAAATCTTGAAACTAGACAGTCTAGATAATGTATTGCAAGATGCACAATTTATGGGACTCAAAATCTTTTTTTTTTCCATATTTATACATCTCAATGTCGAGATGATCAATTAGGGGTTTTTTCAACATTAAAACAACCTTTTCCGATAGATTTTTGAGGTGCATTTGTAATTCTATATTTTAAGGTTGCAACCTTATATAAACTTTTTTCTTTGATAAAAACTATAAATGTAATGTTAAATACTTTAAATCTTAGGAGTAGTTTGACATATTTATTTATTTTTTATTTTTACTGAAGTGCATTCTACAATCAATACCTGGGTATTCATTAAGGTTGTGCAAAGTGTAAATGTTGCCAATAATGTGGGTATATGATGGAAAAAAAAGGGTGAAAAAAAAGAAAAAGAAAGAAAAAGCAAAAGCTCATAGTCATAGAGTGGCAATGGACCCAACTAGATTTGAGACCCGACAGGTAGACCCCGACCTTGGGTCCTGGTATGGGTCCAAATTTTGGACCAGAAAGGTCGGGTCTAGGTCCAGCCGGACCCGACCCGTGCCACCCCAAATTAAAATGCAAAGATGATTTTTCGACCTAAAATTCCAAAGGTTGATAATATTAACTAACATGATTTTCAATTAAATATATACAAATTTGAACCCTACATCACCTTTCTTTTTATTTCTCCATATATCATCATATCTACTTTTTGGGATGTAGAATTAGGACAATGCATCAAGAGTTATTAGATTATGTTTCATATCCTAAATCCATGCATAAAATAAGTTCGAGAAGAAAAATGTATTTGAATGAGACCACTTTGTGTTAAAATGATCGACCACTTTGTCGATAAATCGAATGAATTGACCTTTTCATTTATTTTTACGTGATTTGATAATTTTTTTTAAAAAATTGTAGTATCTATTATATATTAAACGGGAGAATGACCATCCTTATTTTTGCGTCATGTGTCCTTCTCTCATGAAACTTATATCTTTTCTCAATTCTCTTTATTATTTATATCATTTACTGTTTCCCTCTCTACCATTTCTATTACTCCACTCTCTTTCCTAAAAATCAATCTCCCATTTTTTTCCCTAAAATATCTCATTTCTCCCTTATTTATATCATCTACCATTTCTCTCTTGAGCAAACTTTCTATGCTTCCCCTACAACATAAAACTTATATACTTCCCCTTATTCAACGGTCCATTCTGAATGGAGCTCTAAGATTACCCCAATCACAATGTTATATCTCTACACTATTTTATTTTAAATTTTTTTTATAAATTATTTTGATACGAAATTTTGTACGTCCAATCCTCTATTGAACTCGCACTAACGAAAAATGTATAAAAAATATTTCCAATGAAATAAAATGATCAAAATACCCTTGAAAGTTTAAAGGGGTATTTTGGTCATTATATTTTAACGAAAAATTATTTTAAATATTTTTTATAGGTGCACACCAATGAGAACATGGCATGTACCAAATTTTATTTTCATACAATTTGCATAAAAAAATTAAAAATAAAATACTTTAAGACGTCAGATCTAAGATCAAACGGTGAGTGGCTCTCTTGATCAAAATTGGACGGTTGGATGGTAGGGGAAGCATAGATCTTCTATGCTTTAGGAGAAGTATAGATACTATTCCCTTCTCTCTCTCCCTCTTTCATAAAATCTCTCTCCCATTTATTCCTATTTCTCTCTCCCCCCTCACAAAAGTTTCTTTCTCTCATTTATATCATCTATGTTTCCTATCTCTCTCCTCCTCTTTCCTAAACTTTGTCTACTTTTAATTTAGCGTAATTTTTTCCCTTCCCATGGATTCTCGCTATCTTATTTATATCATCAAAGTTCATCTATCTCTTTCGCCATCTTTCCTAAAATCTCTGTCCCTACCCACGGATTCTTTTTTACATATTTATAGCATCTTTATGTCACCGCTCCTCTTTCTTAAAATCTCTCTTCTATTTATCATAATTCTCTCTTTATAGAATTATATGTATTATGGAAACTCTATTATTTCCTTCTCTTCTCTCAACAAACTATCTCTCCTCTCCTTTAATTCTCTCTTTCAATCTCTTCATCCCAAAATATCTTTTTTAAAAAAACCTCTTCCATCCTCTCTCACCATAAATCCTAGGGCTTCACCCAAAAGCCTATCATGCCCCACCTTATCTCTCTCTCTCTATCTCTCTCTCAAGTTCATTTCTTTATTCATCTCTCACATGGAGTTTTTAGTTTGAAAATATTTTCTTAAGAGAAAAGTAGAAGGTACGGTGTTCGTTTTTATCTCTATGTAGTATATTTTTCAAATTGTAATATAAATTTTGTACATATAGAATTTATGGTTTATGATTTTTTTTGTTGATCAGTGGTGTTCAATTTAATATAAATATTTAGTAGTGTATCTATGATTTCTGCATTTCTATGTATTTCTTCATTGATTTTACCTACATTTTCGGTCATTTCCCTCATATTTTCTCACTTTCCATGTGGAATTGAATTTTATTTTTGTTTGTTTTTGTTGATCTTTAAGTGATCTATAGAAACCCTAACATAATTTGTTGATTGAAGCTTTGTGATTAAGTTGTTCAAGACGTTCTCAACGGATCTACTGTGAAAACAAAATTTTAGGTTTTCAAAATAAATAATATTTCATTTTCTCTATATTTCTATGCATTTCTTCATTGCTTTTGCCTACTATTTGATCAATTCTATCATGTTCTCCTTAGTTTCAATGTGCCGTTGAGTTTTTTGTTTTTGTTTAACATAATGTAGAATTGAGTTTTTTTTGTTTGTTGTCATAGATCTTTCAGTGATCTACAAGGTAAATAACATTTTGTTTTCTCTGCATTTTTATGAATTTCTTCATTGCTTTTGCCTACATTTTAGTCATTTCCATCATGTTCTCCTTAGTTTCTATGTGGAATTGAATTTTTTTATTATAATATTATATGAAATTAAGTTATTTTTATTTGTTTTTGTAGATCTTTGAGTGTTCTAGAAGTCCTAATATGATTCATTAATTGAGGCTCTGTAGATCAAGTTGTTCAAGATGATTTGTGTAATATTTGAAATATTGTTGAGTTTTATAACTTTTCTCCATCATTTCTTTCGACGTGTTTCATTTTGTAGGCAAATCTAAGATCTAATGAAACCTTAACTAAATTTCTTGATTATCTTTGCGGTTCTCATTTCATTTGATGTGAAGACACAGATTTTAGGAAATAATTGAATGAAATTCCAACAAATAAAGAATATTATAGTATGAGGAATAAAATTCCAACAAATAAAGAATATTATAGTATGACTCTTTATTAGGTAATTAAAAAAGTTTATATTCATGAGTTAGTATTATACATTAAATATTTACATTTGCATGGATAACATTTGTATTAATTCTGATAATAAATGTGTTTTTGCAAAAAATTTCGTAAATGTGCATTTTTTCCTTTATTGTGGGTTATTAAGACTATTCGAATAAGCTGCGATTTTAGGTAATTATGAATATATATATTGTTTAGTTAATGCTATATATTAAATATTTGTCTTCTTTTTTATAACATTTGCATAACTGACTTTGACATTAAGACTTTTATTTTCGAATGCTGATTCTATTGACACGATTCTTGGATCTAATTAATTAAATTTTTTTGAAATAATGTATTAAATTTATAATTATTTGATACAATATTCAATTTTAAATATAAATTCCTTTATTTTAAATTTGTTTAGTCTCCCTGTAATCTTATTTTATCAAAAATAGTATATCTAAATTATTTGTTTCATTCGTAGTTTCAAAGAAATCGTAAATATTTAATAAAATTATTCAATTATAAGAATAAATTCAATAATATCTAAGAGCATATTTTATTCAAAATATTTGTCAAAGATAAAAATGTTTTAATGATTAAAATTAATTATCACGAGGAATGCATGTGCATATTACTTGCTAACCCATAAGCATGGCTCAGTTACGTCAGTTAGGAAGACTAGTAGCAAATGCGGGATCCGTAATGATCCATTAGTACGTGCTACTCTCATAAATATGTTGGGGAGTTATGTAACCACAAAATAAATATTTACTTGGATGCTTTGAGAAAAGTGGGGATACTTCAAAACCCAGATCAGTGGACGAGTAGGAAGATCATTCACCCACAAATATGCGTTGAATTGTCGGATGGGTGATCCAGATTAGGTTTGGATCAATTTGAATTAGTGATTTAAAAAAGTATTTAAAATATATAAAAATTAAAATAAAGATTTATAGGTGGAAACCTAAAAAGATATTAGATAAACTTAAAATGAGAAAAAAAAAACATCTAAAGTCCATTTTTGAAAAAAACCGGGCCGGGACCTATACCATCACAAAATAAGTTCGGTCCCGATCGGTTCCTATCCGGATTAGAAATCATTGGGAATTAAGACACTGAATAAAATAAATGGAGAAGGGGTGATGTTTGAGAAGAAAAAGAATAGGAGACTATGAGATGGCTATGGTATATTTCTAACTTGGTTTAAATCACTAAACATTTTCTCTTGCAATTAGGGCTTCTTACTCTTCTCAGTCATTCAAAATGCAAACGTCTCTCTCTAGAGCGAGAGGCAAGCATTTTCCAAGGCAACAACTCTTCATCACTTTATTAAATAAAAATGGCGATAACATTTGATAACAAGAAAGGGTGGAATATTTCCCCCAACACAAGTTGAGAAATGAATAATTGAAAAACCAACGTTCTAATAGAAACTAGTGTCTTAAACACCCATATCAATCAAATACCCCACTCACAACCACATGTGTTCAATCATTAATGAACGTTAAGGGCCATGGCCACCACCTCCGCCTCCGTAGCCTCCCCCAAATCCACCACCTCCACCGCCACCACCTCCACCTCCACCTCCACCGCCACCTCCACCTCCACCTCTACCTCCACCTCCTCCACCACCGAATCCTCCACCACCACCTCCAAAACCGCCTCCACCTATGCCACCTAAGCCTCCATCGCCTCCGCCACTTTTTCCACCATCACCTATTGCACCACCACTACCCCCTTTTTCCCCGCCTCCTTTACATTTACCCACACATTCACCTCCACCTCCACCATCTTTAGTATTACCTTCTCCATTCTTATCTCCACCCCCTCTACACTCACTCTCATTTCCTCCACAATCACCCCCACCTTCTCTAGGCTCACCACCACCACCACCACTTCCATTTCTATCTCCACCACCTCTACATTTCTCCCCGCTCCCTCCACAATTATCCCAACCTTCTCTAGCTTGACCTCCACCACCACCATCTTCACCTTCACTGCCAGATCTGTCCCCACCGCCTCCTCGCCCTCTCGAACCACCCGCACTTTCTCCCGGTTTACATTTGATCTTTTCCTCTCCCAAACCATTGCCATCCATGAGCCATCTCATGGCATTTCCTTGGAACACAAGTGTGCAAAGGATGAAAAGAACCACAAGAGGAACCCTCATTTTGATGTATTGAACATGGTCCACTCTAAGCCTTTATATAACCAAAAATCTGGCCTTGAAATTTGAAATCCATGAATATAATAACCCAATGTATTTAGGTAAAAAATGGGTATAAGATCAAAGAACCAAAAAATTGGGTTAAGAATTGAATATGATTCAGGTCCCCTTTCACATAGAACTGATTGTATACAAATGTCTCGTGAAGCTCTGAAACAAAGAAGCCAGAGGGACCAGCGGGGATGAATTTGGTTTCATGCATGTATTACTCTTTCTCTCTTTTGAATTCATCTCTCTCTTCGAGAGCTCTGAGGAGTTCAGGAGTTGCTTATATTTCCAAGAAGAGTTACAGAAACCACCGGACTCCATTGGAGAGGTTCAAGCTCAAGAAATTTGACTTCTGACAATAGCTGGCTTCTTTTCCCCAGAAACACCGTCATCACTTCAGGCACATGTACTATAATCCAAATCAGAGGGCCATTTTTTAAGGAAAAAGTGTGCATAAGTGGGAGGCCCTAAACAATCAAATTAAGGCGCACCTCAAAATTCAGTGGAACAAAATGTTTCGATACCAAAAAATCCTCAAATTGATCGGCTTGACCTTAAGATATAAAGACATGAGAAAAAATGGATTCCAAGTTTTGAAAATAGTGCATCCTGTAATATATTTTTGGAGAGTTGATTTTCAAGTTTTACAAGTTTTCATAGATCTGCTCAATCTATATTATTTTTAAAATTTTAAATATTATAATTAAAAATAAAAATAGATTTTCAAGCCATTACAAAGAATTTCGGTATGGAAATAATATCTTTCAACACTATTTAAAGGTGCACCTTAATTTGATTGTTTAGGGCTTCGGCCATATACAAATCAAACCCTTTTTTAATGGGTCAGGTTTTTATAGGTTGCCAGGTGCACCTCAAAATGTCGCTAAAAAATGAATTTTAGGTGTCCAAGCTCTAGCCTGAAAATCTAGTTTTCACCCCTATTACGAAATTGACAACTCTTAACACGTTACGGATTCAGTAGATTTATGAATACTAAAAAATTCTTGAGAATGAACCGTCTAGATAATGTATTATAATATGTATTATTTTAAAATTTGAAATTTTTTTTTATATTCTATATCTATACCAGTGTTTAAAAAAACGTCGAGTCGAACGTCAAGTCAAACCGGACTCACCCGGTTCGACTCGAGAATTGGCACAGACCGTGCCGGCTCTAGCAAAAAATCGAGAACCGCCCGGTTCTAGAGCAAAACCGCTGATTCTCACCCGGTTCTAGCAGTTCCCAACCGGTTCTAACCGATTCCAGCCCGGTTCTAGTCGGTTCCAGCCCTCACCTCATCCTCTTCTTTCCGCAACCACCAGTAGCAGCCACCTCCATCTCTCTCTAATCCCACACCAGCAACGACCATCACCTGTTGCTCTCTCTAAACCCCCTTGCCATCTCCGCCCCACTCAGCTGCGGCCCAGTGCCCCTTCTCTCCACCTGCTCTCACACCCTCTGTTCTCCGCCTCTCTCCAACTTCCTGCAACCAGCTGCAAACCATCGATGTTACCATCTCCGCCCCACTCAGCTGCGGCCCAGTGCCCCCTCTCCGCCCTCTCTCGCTCTCCAGCCCATCTCAATGTCTCCTTAATCCGTCACCAACTCTCTCCATCGCAACCTCTCCCAGCTGTCCGCTATCACCACTGTCTCTCTCAAACCTGTGCCACTGCTCTCTCTCTCTGAACACCTGCGATCAACCCTCCCTTTCCTGCCTGCAGCACCCGACCATCCTCTCACTCTCCCAATTCCCTGTTCTTTCTTCGCCCCTTTTTTTTCTCTCTCTAGAAGCCACGAGCGAAATCACCACTCTCCCTTTGCTCTTCGTTTTAAGATTCCGTGATTTTCGTTTTCATTCAATCCACTCAAAGTTTCGTCCACCCACTTCATTTTGATCCATCTCAAGCCTCCTTGCCTCTCTCAAGTAACTTTATTTTATTAATTTTTACTAACCAAATCTTTTATTTTATTTATTAATTTTTACATTATAAATCGTACTATTTTTTTTACAGTTGTCAATAATACATTTTATATTAGATAATATTATAAAATATTTTTAATTTGTTATTATTTATCTAATAAAATAATTATAAAATGTAAAATAATAATTATAATTTCAATATATAATATTATAATTAGTTAGATTGTAATAATTTTGGATTATAGTTAGTTAGGTTGTAATAATTTGGATTTTTTTAGCGGATTAGGGTTTTTCGCCAAAACGAAATTTTAATCGCCATAATGCTATGATTTTTTTTTATGCGACGCAAATTCAATACTTAAGTTTATACAGGGAAAGAGCATCTCAATATTCACAAATTGACGAAAAAAATGAAAGTTAATAACGTAGTACCTTCATTTCTTATTTGATTCCTAAAAAACAACATTTATAATGAATTTTAATAATTTTTTCAAATTTTTTTGAAGCTTTAATCCGACCGATTCAGCCGATTCCCGATCCGAATCGCCGATTCATCGATCCGAATCGCCGATTCATCGATCCGAAATCGGTTTTTGAGGTGCCCAATCCGGGTCACCTGTCCTCTTTTTAAACCATTGATCTACACATATCGAGGTCAATCAATTGGAAAGTTTTCTAGGGGCAAAATATCCTTTTTAAAGTTCACACATCCCCTTTTTTTTTTTTCTTTTTCAATAGGCAAATGAGTATAGGCTCATGCAGGAGCATACTGTTCAATCACTACTTTACACGTAAAACCCTTTCTAGGCATATTTTAAGACCCCAAGTTTTAGGGAACAACCTCCTCAACATAGCTACCAACCTAGAAATTAATGGTAACTTTATCAAAATAACTATATGATATGCAATTTAAGATCTCACCTACATCTTTTGATTTTATTTCAAAGTACCCATAAAAAAAAACACATGATTTTAAGTCAAACACAGGATTTTAAGTCGGACTAGTTGCAATTGGTAAATGGTCAAATAACTCATTTATGATGGATATTTTAATTAATGTCCCAATAATAATAGCTTCTTCAAATTGAATAGAACTACCCAAGTTTTGGTTGGTTATATTTAAAAATTTAGGAAAACATGCCTTTTTAATGGAAAAAGTTTATATAGAGTCGGGGCCCTAAACAATCAAATTTGAGTCTACCTAAAAAATGTCACTAGAAGATGTTGTTTTGATGCCCAAATATCTTCAAATTGGTCATCTCGACATCATGATGCATGGACATGAGAAAAAAATAGATTTCAAGTTTTAGAAATAGTGTATTTTGTAATACATTTTTTTATCGTCAATTTTCAAGATTTTCAAGTTTTCATAGATATGTCGATCTACACTATTTTTGAAACTTTGAACTTTATAAATAAATATGAAAATATATTTTAAGCGTATGACAAAGATTTCCAGTGTTTAAACCACATTTCTTGACACCATTTGAAGGTAGGCTCTAATTTGATTGTTTCGAGCCTAGGCTCTATACAAACCGCACCCTTTTTTAATTTCTAATTCTTTTAAAAAACTTGTTTGATGATTGAGTCACTTCCAAAATTTTGTATCTAAAAATTCGATAAGCTTTGCCCTATGAAGCATATATTGTGGTCCCTTAGGGGAAGTGTGTATTGTAGTCCCTTAGGGGAAGATATTTAAAAAATCGGTGACTCGATCCGAAATCGAGCGATTCAAATTCGGTATCGGCTGGACCGTTCTAGATCTAGCCATAAAAGGGATCTGCTGTGTTTACTTGACATCACAACTCACTGACTATGCTCACTATGACATCATCACCGACTATATTCACATCATTGAATATCAGACCTTTTTTTAAACCCGGGATGGCTTTTTTGGAATTTTCCTAAAAAACTGGGGCAACTATAGTAATACATCTTGTCTTGAGGAACTCATCGACTTTGCTCACTATGACAGCATCAGACCTTTTTTTAAACTCAAGATGGCTTTCTTGAAATTTTTCTCAAAAATTGGGGCAATTATAGTAATAATTTTTATCTTGATAAACTCACCGACTTTGTTCACTATGACATCAAGCATCATCACCGACTCCGTTCAGATCATTGAACCAAGTACTATACTTTTTTTTTAAAGGAAAATTTCGTGTAGAATCTTAATTCCTCATATTATTTCATAGTAGACCTTCTTTCCGTTTTTCTTTCAAGCGGCATAAGAAAACCTTTTAGGATTTCACAATACCCCCATCATATCTTATCTCCCTCTTTTACTACCTTTTAACCATAAAAATTAGTCCCAACAAATCTTTTTATATCATTTCAACCCAAAAATATTTTTAACTATCTTTTCCCCTATTAAAAAGGTTTTTGGGTTGTGATGGTATAAAAAGATTTGTTGAGACTAATTTTTATGATCAAAAGTCAATAAAAGAGAGAGATAAGAGATGAGGGGGTACGGTGAAATCTTTTAGGGTTTCCTTGTGCCACTTGAAAGAAAAACGGAAAGAAAGTCTACCATGAAATAATATGAGAAATTAGCATTCTATACGAAATTTTTTCCTTTTTAAACTCGAGTTGGTTTTTTTGAAATTTTTTTCAAAAATTGGGACAGCTAGTAGTACTTCTTGTCTTGGGGAGAGTTTCATATTTTTTATACTCGGAATGGATTTTTTGAAAATTTCCTCAAAAATTGGGACAACTATAGTAGTACTTCTGTCTTGAGAAGAGTTTTATATTGGTAAGAAAAGGTCCCCTATCAACGGTTAATAATGGATTTTTTGAAATTTTCCTCAAAAATTTGGACAACTATAGTATTACTTCTTGTCTTGCTTGCTCATTATCGGTAATAAGGAGAGTTTTATAGTGGTAAAACTTATTATCCTTTTTTAATGTGGCACATTTCGTCTCATTCACTTTGCAATCGGTCTCCCTCTCATATATCAATACCTATAGCATGAGAGAGAATTGAGGAGGTAAATTCTCTCTCACATATCTATGCTTTTGTTAGATTTTTTTTTT